GCGGCGCCCACGCGCTTCCCTATCAGGAGCCTCCTGCAGCTTGTGGAGCGGGCGCGCTGCCTCTGATAATGCGAGTGAAGCAGTGACCCGGCCCGGAGTCCAGCGCAGAGCTGGGCGACCCTTGCTCCGCCCGGCCAGCCGGCCACAGTGCAGGCCTCAGCAGGGCACAGGTGCATGGACTCCTTGCAGTTAGTTGTCCTGAAATTGTTAGCACGTAACTCAAAGCAAATCCAGTTGGCAGTTATCTTACAATTGGGCTAATGCAGTACTGTCCCAAAGGAAAAGTGGTTTGGGCTCAAGGGAATTTATCTTATACCTCATCAGTATGAGCTTTCTTTACTGAAAGATCAAACAAGAAGAGGCCTTGTTGCAAATATGTCTCTTCGGTACCCCCAGAGGCCAGTGGTTCCCAAAGTATGATCTTAGGACCCCGCAATATCCACGTAATGTGGGAATTTGTTAGACAAATTCATGGCTCCACCCGGACCTACTGCACCAGAATCTCTGGATATAGGACCCAAACCTGTGCTTTCCAGTGATTGTTATGAACACTAAAGTTTGTGAACCACTGACCTAAGTAATCAAAGAACATTAAGGAACTACCAGTGTATTCCCCATAAAAAGTTTAATTATTCATACTGACCCTTTAGTATGAGTCGACAAAAAAGAAATACTAATGTATACTATTCTAAAAGCACAACTTGCAAATGCTGTGCAGGAGAAAAACAGATTCTAAAATTTTAATGGACTTAAAGGGTATTATGCTCAGTGAAATAAGTTAGAGAAAGACAAACACCATATGATTTTCCTCACAGGTGAAATTTAAAGAACAAAATAAACGAACAAAATTGAAACAGACACAGAGAGAGAACTGGTAGGTTGCCAGAGTGTACTGGGTGAAAGAGGTGAAGGGACTAGAAGCACAAATTGGTAGTTACAAAATAATAACAGAGAATTAGGTAAAGCACAGGAAATATAGTCAATAATATTGTGATAACTGTATATGGTACCCGTTGGGGTACTGGAAATATAAAAGGGAGCATTATGTAAAGTATATGATTGTCTAACCACTAAGCTGTATACCTGAAACCAATACAAAATAAAATTAAAAGAAAAAATAAAATTTTAGAAAAATACCAGGCGGGAGGAGATGATACAAGTAAAAGGAAAACAAGAAACTTTGGTACCCCTATTATATTTCTTAAACACAGTATATAATACTAACTATATTTAGTGTGAACCATATAAAATTGCCATTTCTGAAGGCCAAAACCGTTGAATATCAGTAATACAGTGTGGTTCAATTTAATATAAATAATTCCTAATTAAATGCACAAAATACAAAAACTTGTTCATACATTGTTTTTCTTTCTTGGGCTAAACTATTAAAAGCTGTTAATCATGATAACTAACTGGCAAATTTAAGGTGATAAATTGGAAAGACTTGTTGCTTATGTGGTTACATATGCAAAAATAAAGTTTCTCATATTTGCTTATATTTTTTATTTAAATTACTAAGCTTGACATGTTTACCAAGAAATAGTTTTCAGAAATGTGTCTTATCTAGATGAAGTAAAGCTTTTGAGCAATATGTAAACTATTAAAAGCTGTTAATCATGATAACTAGCAAATTTAAGGTGATAAATTGGAAAGACTTGTTGCTTATGTGGTTACATATGCAAAAATAAAGTTTCTCATATTTGCTTATATTTTTTATTTAAATTACTAAGCTTGACATGTTTACCAAGAAATAGTTTTCAGAAATGTGTCTTATCTAGATGAAGTAAAGCTTTTGAGCAATATGTCAGTCTTTTACTAATTAAATAGGTCTTGAGTGTAATATAGAATCACTTATTCAATAAATATTGAGGTCCTCTTATATATAAGTCCTAAAAATCAAAAATTCAGAACTCATAGAAAATCTTGTCCTTATGTTCCAGTGAAAAAATGAATTTCCCAAGATCACAATAAATTAATAGTATAGCTAGAATTCAATTCCAGGATTCTCTCTTCTAATAGCAATTGGATTGTATATTTAAATATTAACAACAGGCCAAACTACATTCTGTCACACAGAAACCTAAAATAATTAAATTCCCCCAAATTAACTTTATTTATTCATATATAAGTAGGGAATTTTTTAAGTTAAAAAAAAATTGTCACAACTATTAACCCCCCAGGCACACTCTGAACCAAATTATACATTCAATTAATTGGGAGCTTACTAAATTTCAACACTTTCCTATGTGCTGGTAATATAGCAATGCAATAGTTAAAATCCCTCATAGAGCCCAGCCAGCAGTGGTTGAGTGTTGACCTCTGAACCAGGCGGTCACAGTGCCATTGCTGATCAGGGCACATGCCCAGATTGGGATTTCAGGCTCAATCCCCAGTGGGGGGGCATGCAGTAGGCAGCCAGTCAATGATTCTCTCTCATCATTGATGTGTATTGTTCTCTCCTTTGAGCTGCGGCCAGGGCAGGGTGCTGCCTGCAGGCCGCACTTGCCTGCTCGCGGATCGCCGTGGCGACCCGTGAGCAGGCCCTGCTGGGTGCTGCCTGCAGGCCGTGCTTCCCTGATCATAGGTCCCCGCGGCAACCCATGAGCAGGCCCTGCTGGGTACTTGCCTGCTCATGGGTTGCTGAGGCAATGCCTGCTGGGCTCATGTTGCCCAGGCTGCACTTGCCTGCTTGCGGTTCACCATGGCAACCCACGAGCAGGCCCTGCTGGGTGCTGCCTGCAGGCAGCGCTTCCCTGATCACAGGTCCCCGCAGCAACCCATGAGCAGGCACTGGTGGGTGGTTGCCTGCTTGTGGGTTGCTGAGGCAACGCCTGCTGGGTTCACGTTGCCAGGGTGATGCCCCCAGCATCCTGCCCTGGCCGCTATGGGCACCTCCATCTTTGTCGTGGAGTGATGGTTAATTTGCATATTACTCTTTTATTAGATAGGATGGAGGAGATCCAACCACATTGCAATGTAAGTAAAGTTTTACTTCCCTAGATTATTTCATGAAATACAATAATACTCCCAGGTCAAGATTTAAACTCAACCTTTGACATTATTATTTCCATGTGTACCTTAATCTCTGCATTTTATCCTGAGGAGGTAGATGCATACTTGTGATCTCACTAAGCCCTCAATCTCTCAAGACCCCTATGAATTCATTCAGAAGATCTTCTCAGACATCCTCCCAAATACCCTGTAAGAAAATTGCTACCTTTTTTTAACCTCTTTGACTAGAACAGATTTTTTAAGTTAAAAAAAAAAGCAAGGCTGGGTATCACGTAATTTAGATCTACATCTCTAGAATAGTTGAGGAGATAGAGTCTAGGTATAAGAACATTCTGGAGCTTAGAAATCAGCCAGTGCCAATCCAGAGTCAACAAATACCCAATATGCTAAGAGCTCTGA